GGCTGTTATTATCTGTAAACAGCCCCAAGTGCAGACGGTGCTGAGGTGGGTGGGGTGAGGGTGAGGACGGCAGCCTGGGCCTGAGGACGCGGGCCCGGCCCCCGCAGAGCCTCAGCACCAGGCGCCCGGCACTGTCGGGGCACCACTCCCTGGCCAGAAATCACCGCGACCCTAAACTCACACACAGCTCCCCTCCCCCCACCTACACCAGCAACCTGGGGCTTCGGGGAAGTCCTGAGATTTTCTCAGAGGCGCCCCCCAAACCCCACAGCCACTGCAGCCACCACCACCCGGGAGGCGGCTGCTGCTGAGGTCAGGGCGCTGACCAGTGCCCGTGCGACCACAGCAGGAGAGGCGCTCTGACAGCGGCGCGCAAGGCGGGTGAGGGAGGCCCTGGCCACGCCCCTGACTCCTTTTATTAGGAGCAGGCAGCAGGTGGACAGAGCCGGCAGTGCCCCGGGCTCACCCGCAGCCCGCATGCCTCTCCCAGGTTCTTCTAATGCTGGCTGGGGCGCAGGTGCACACGGTCAGCCAGGAGAGGCCTGGCAGAGGGTCTCTGACCTACAGTGCCGCACCCTGATTTGGGGTGCGGTTGTCCCGTGCGTGGTGGGGTGCCAGGTGCCAGAACCTCCCCTGGCCAAGAAGTACCACTGGGGAGCTGAGTGGGACTCCCGCCTCAGTACTCCCACGTGTACAGGCTACAGCAAGGCCACACAGGGCTTAGCTCAGGGCCAGACAGGAACCAGCAAAGCCTTGCCATTCAGTGGTGGCCCTGGGACCCCAGAGGAGCCCAGATCCTTCCTGCAAGTCCAGATGCGCTCAGGTGGCAGAGAGCTGAATGCTACTCCTGCTGCACTGCCGCTGGGACACGCAGCACCCCCACCCCCACCCTGCCAGGTAACCACCCCCCGCATGCACTGCAGGGCCCGCCCAGCGCTGGGCAGATGGACTGAGGGGAGGTGTGCAAAATCACAGGTAAAGGTCATTCACCAAGAGCTGGGGGAGGGGAGGAGGGGCAGGCGAGGAGGGAAGAGGGGAAGGAGAGGCTCCCAGGAGCGGCTCTGAGCAGACAGAACCCCTAGAGTGCGCGCACGAATCCTGAGCACTTCTGGGAGTCATTCCTGAAGCCTCCAATTCCAGCAGCTACTGACTGTCCTGAACAGTGACCTCTGCCTTTCCCAAGAGAGGCCGTGCCAGTGCCAGTGATGCCTGAAGCCCCCAGGCACCAGCAGCGGAGGCCGGGGCCAGATTCCTGCCCCGGTCAGCACAAGCAGGGGGCGAGGGCTCGGCTGAGTCCCACCTGCATCTGCTGCCAGGGCGCAGGCTCCTGGCCCATGCCCAGCCGTAGGGCTGCTATGACAAGCAGGACACTAAGCCCTACTGGCCTTCCTGTTCTCACTGGTCATCTGTGGGCAGGCACCGGTATGAGCCCTCTGTCCAGGTGAGGAGACAGGAGCTCAGAGAGGTGGAGTGAGCCCCTAAGATGACCACTGGGACCTGGCTGGGAGGGGCACAGAATCCTCCTGGTCCCCACCCCGGGGCCAGCCTCCGCCCCTCTGCAGCTCAGAGGTCCTGTATCTCCGCAGCACTGCCAAGGCCAGGTTCAGATCTCGATGCCGGGAACCCCACTGGGGCAGAAAACCCAGGCTCCTGTCCCAGCTGCCGATGTCCACTATGTGCAGAGCCCGAAGAGCCCCACGGGGCGCTGGCCACATGCTGAGCCCTGGTGCCCTGGGCTGGGAGCAGCTCCCAGAGAATCCAGGGTCTGTGTCCGGGCAAAGCTCAGCTGAGCTAACGACAGAGACTGCTCAGCGGGACGCCCCGGACTGTCTGCAGCCAGCCACCGTCAGGCCCAGCCACCCACAGCCAGGTGCCCACCTCTGCAGGAGGGGCTTCCAACCTCACAACCGGCCAGGGTGGGGGGCATTCTACCCCCATTCCACAGATGGAGAAACGGAGACCACAGCTCTGCAAGCAGCTCTAGGCCCAGTCTCGGGACGCTGGCGGCGCTGACAGATGTGAGAAGATGCCAATGAGCTGGGGCTTCCCAGAAAGACACTCAGGCGCTCCAGCTTTCCCGAACTCCACAAGGATCTGCTTCCGCCGTGCCAGGCCCTGTGCAGAGGACGGACCTCGTGCCGTCTGCTCCTCACAGCTTGGAAGAGGGCACCCCCCCATGCCCAGATGAGGAACGCAGGCTCCGCCGGGGCAAGTGCCCCGCCCAAAGTCACACGGTCGCATCCACAGCCAAGGCCTCATCCCCACGACTTCCACCTGAGCACCAGGGCGGCACACACTGACCGCTGACTGTGGCTCTGCCCTTAAGCAAAGGCGTTTACGCCCCCCACCGAGCCGTGAGGGGTGTGAAAGGGGAAACTGAGGCTTGGGGAGGGGGTCAGAGGCTGGTGTGGAGTGGGACAGAAAGCCACGGCTCCATGATACCAGGACAGACCACTGTGGCCAGTGCTTCTCTGGGGGGACGTCCTGTACATTCAGGGATGCCTGGCAGCTCCCCGGGCCCCCTCCCACCAGAGGCGGGAGACCCCTGCTCGAGACAGATCAGCAGGGAGTCTGGCAGGGTCAGTGCGTGACCAAGGAACACAGTTGGTCTAGAGAGACAACCTCCCTGCCTCCGACACGGTGCAGACCCCTGCCCTCCGCTGGCAGGGGGCAGCGAGTGCCCCCGCGACCCCTCCCTGGCGGGCAGTCCTCTGGGAACCTCAGCTTCCTCCTGGCTGAATTCTGGGCAGCGCCTGCAGCTGTGGTCAGATCGACCGCCTGGGGCACCCCACCTCACCCACGGCTGCACTCACTTGTCACTGGGAGGCCAGGCGGGGCACACAGGGAAGGGAGCGAGGTTGAGCAGGGGCGGATTCTGAGGCAGGGGTTCAAGGCCTTTGCCAGATGAGAGCAGGCAGGTCCCGAGCGTGGCCACCATCCTCTAGGTCAGTACGTGCGGACCTGTGCCTGCTGAGCCCTGCTTCCGGCTCTAGCAGCCATGAACGACAGCCAGGCAACCTTGGCCTTGGAAACAGACAGCCAGGCAGCCCGGCGTGGCTGGCACTTCCGAGAAACGAGGACAGCCCAGAAAACCCACCTACTTCTGGGAAACCTCCCTGCTTCTGAACGCTGCAGAGAGAGGAGACGTGCCCCGCCTGTGCGCACTCCCAGCCTTCTCACGAAGCAAGGGCAAGGTTAAGACGCCCAGGCTCCGAGGCCAAGGACGGGCGTGTGTTCTGGAAGCACCAACCCCATCCCCCGTTTACACCATCTCCCCCTGAACGGGGAGGGGCTGGGAGAGGGGTCATGCCGACACGGGTGCCCAGAGAGCAAGCCCACGTCACAGCATGAGGACCACCACCAGCTCTGGCCAGGGAGTGAGAAGCCAACAAGACACAGAGAGGTGGGAGGAGCCATTAGGAGGCCCTCGATGCTGGCGAGCCGTGCCAGGCACGCTGAAGGCAGTGGCCGCTGGGCCCATGGGCATGTAAACCACTCAGCACTACAGAAGGCAGAGTGGGCTGCCAGCCAGCCACAGAACACTGCACACCAAGGGCCTGAACACGCGTGTGGGAGACCACACTTGAGTGTGGGCGTGGTGCACTTGAGGTCAACACAAGAGACTCAGACCTTTTGGGAGGCCTTAGACTCAGGCCGCGAATGTGCTCGTCCCTCCCAGGGGAAGGCCAAAGGCAAACAGAACCCAGGACGCCCATGTAACCAAGGCAAGTTGGTGGCAGTGTCCAAACTGTGCCCTTCTCGCCACGAAGGAGCTGAGGACAGAGTGACAGCCTCCCTGCCACCACGGGAGGCCATGTCCTGGGGAGCGAAGGGGGACTCTGGCCTCAAAACTGGGCCCAGTCCCCAGGCCCGTGGAGGCCCCGCACAACCCCCTCATGTCTGAACTTGACCCAGGAAACCCAGGCTCTGCTCACACACCCCTCCCTGGTGCTAGGGTTCAGACGCTCCTTTGGGTGTCCCCGAGGCCACGTGGTAAAGTCCGGTTCCCAGGGCAGAGCCACTGGGAGGGGTTGAGCCTTTCAGAGGCGGGGCCTGCTGGCAGGGCTTGGGGGACAGAAGGGGTCCCCACAAAGGGTCCCTGTAAAAGCTCTCTCACTGCTCCCGACTCAGCACACCACGTGATGCTCCTCTGCACACACCCCGCCAGCCACGCCGAAGCCGGCACCACGTCGTTTGGACTCGGAGCTGAGTGGCTGTGAGCTGACTCAGTCTTGGCTCTGTAAGCTACCCGCCTCAGGTATTCTGCTGTAGCATGAAGAGCCGGCGAGCACGCCTGGCAGCCACACCGCAGAGCACCTCCCCCCCCTTCCCTTTCTGCAGCCCGACCCCCTTCCCAGTGTCCATCCCACAGTCCAGATTGCACACCGACGTGTGTGTTGTCTCCAGGACGTGTGGCTCATGATCTACCCAAGGTGCCGGGTGCAGGGTGCACAGGCAGCATGCGCTGGACACATAAGGAGAGGAACTAGCACACTACAGTGGAGGTGGACAGATAGCCAAGAGGATGTTGGCAAAGGCTATTGTGGCTTAAAAACGTAATAGGAACAACCCGAGCATCCATCCGCTGGTGAATGGACAGGCAGGGGCCTCGCCACACAAAGGAGCATTACTCAGCCATAAAAAGGAAGGGTTCATGCTACCACGTGGATGAGCCTCGGCAGCCCCACGCCCCGTGAAATCACGACACACTGCATGACTCCGGTGTGAGCTGCCCGCAACAGGCCAAGCTGAAGAAACAGAGAGTAGATCTGTGGTTGCCGGGGCGGGGGGCATTAACTGAGAGGTGGCCCATTCCCACTGAGCGGAGGGTCCCTTCTGGGGAGGGTGAAAACCATCTGAAATTGATTGAGATGATGGACACGCAGCACCAAGTACAAGCCAATGAGCTGCACGCTGTGGAGGTGCGAATTTCAGGAGTTACATCAGACTGCAGTGAAACTACCACCAAAAGTAAGAAAATTCAAGGAAGTTCTCTCACGGCTCAGATTCGCCCAGACCGCGAGCCGCTTCCGGATGCACGCGCAGCAGCAGGGAAAGCAGCATGGCGCATCTGAAACCCCAGGGCAGCAACAAGCAACCGCGCCCTCATGTGGTCCTGAAGCTCTGAGCCCAGACGCTAAGAGCTCTGCTCCTCCCCGCGACATCAGGGCTGTCAGCAGCACCTTGCACGGAACAGCTCCTCTGGGTCGGGTGCCACACTGAGCGCGTCCTCTCCATCCCTGGGGCAAGGCCGCCTCTGTCTCCATTTCACCGAAGTGGTAACTCACACTCAGCGAGACTGAGTGCAGGCTGAGGTCACCCAAAGCACAAACGGTAGAGGCAGAATTGGAAAACACATCAGCCTCGGGCTTTCCATCGGATTGTTTTTTGACAGGCAGATTTAGACAGTGAGAGAGAAACAGAGAGACAGAAAGGTCTTCCTTTCCGTTGGTTCACCCCCACAAATGGCCGCTATGGCCGGCGCTGCGCCGATCCAAAGCCAGGAGCCAGGTGCTTCTCCTGGTCTCCCATGGGGTGCAGGGCCCAAGGACCTGGGCCATCCTCCACTGCACTCCCGGGCCACAGCAGAGAGCAGGACTGGAAGAGGAGCATCCGGGACAGAACCCGGCACCCCGACCGGGACTAGAACCCGGGGTGCTGGCGCCACAGGCAGAGGATTAGCCAAATGAGCCGCAGCACTGGCCGGATTGGTTTGTTTTTTTTTTTTTAAGGTTTATTTATTTGTTTGAAAGTCAGAGTTACACAAAGAGAGAAGGAGAGGCAAAGAGAGAGACATCTTCCATTCTTTGGTTTACTCCCCTGTTGGCTGCAAGAGCCGGAGATGTGACGATCTGAAGCCAGGAGCCAGGAGCTTCCTCTGGGTTTTCCACATGGGTGCAGGGGTCCAAGGACTTGGGCCATCTTTTACCTGCTTTTCCAGGCCAAAGGAGAGAGCAGGATCGGAAGTGGAGCAGCCGGGACTCAAACCAGCACCCATGGCACTGCAGGCGGTGGTTTTACCCACTCCACTACAGTGCTGGCCCCCTCATTGGATTGTTGAGTTGCCTGTCTCTAGAGAATGTGTCATTTCTTGAACTGCCTCCCAGAAGGAAGCTTACTTTGGGAGGACTTGGCCTAAAATGTTAGAAAGATGTACTCTGCAGAGAGCAGGTGCACTATTCAGGAAACAGGTGTGCCATACAGAGAGCAGGTGCACTACGCAATGGGCAGGTACACTATACAGAACTGGTGTGCCATACAGAGAGCAGGTGTGCCATACAGACAGCAGGTGCACTACTCAGAGAGCAGGTGCACTATGCAGAGAACAACAGGTGTGCTGTACAGAAAGCAGGCAAACTATGCAGAGAACAGGTGCCCTATGCAATGGGCAGGTGCACTATACAGAGAACAGGTGTGCCATACAGGCAGCAGGTAGGATATACAGAGAGCAGGTGCACTTTACAGAGAGCAGAAGTGCTTTACAGAGAACAGGTGCACTACACAGAGAGCAGGTGCACTACACAGAGAGCAGGTGCCCCCCACAGACAGAAGGTTCACACGTACAGCAGGCATGCTATAGAAACAGGTGTGCTATACAGAGTGCAGAAGCTCTACACAGACAGCAGGTGCACTACACAGAGCAGGTGCTGTATTCAGGGAGCTGATGTACTGTCCAGAGAGCAGGCACTCTACACAGACAGAGGCTGTACTATGTACTATGCAGAGAGCAAACACACAACTTGGTGCAGAGAGCTCTGTGCCCGCAGGGGACAACCTGGAAAAGCCACTGAAAGGGGTGGTGCCTGCACCCACACCCACGGGAAAGAACCCACAAGGAGCTCACTCTCGGTCTTACCCAATGGAAACGTCTCCCAGCCTGCTGAGCCCCAGACAGTGCAAGGAGGACCAGCTCAGAGGAGCTGGCAGCCGGGCTGGGGCACAGGGGGGAGGCAGTGTGGACGTGAAGGATCAGGCCATGGAGGGAGGGGAGGCCAGGTACAGGGTGGGGCATGGGGGCAGCTCCAGGTGGCAACAAGCTCCATGTTGGCCATGGTTGTGGTGACCACAAGTGGGGTCGGTGTTGAGGATGTCAAGGGTTTCTGATGCCAAGACTGGTTGGTTCTGATACTGGACTTGGGCTGCCTGGATGGTGGCTGGGAGAGACTAAAGTAGCTGGTGGGCCCCAGCAGCCATGGGGCGTGGTCAAGACCAGGCTGGGTGATGGGCAGCCATGAAGACTTGGGAGCTGCAGGCTTTGTGTTTACCCATTGGCCTCTCCATGTTGTCTGCTGGGTGCACAGAGCTCTCCCCATCAAGACATGTGTCTGCTCTCTGCACAGTACACCCTCTGTCTCCATAGTACACTCTCTCTCTGCACGGTAAATCCTCTCTGCACAGTACACCCTCTCTCTGCACAGTACAACCTCTGTCTCCATAGTACACTCTCTCTCTGCACGGTACACCCTCTCTGCACAGTACACCCTCTCTCTGCATGGTACCCTCTCTCTGCACAGTATACCCTCTGTCTGCATGGGACACCCTCTGTCTACACAGTACACCCTCTCTCTGCACAGTTCACCCTCTCTCTGCACAGTACACCCTCTCTCTGCATGGTACACCCTCTCTCTCTCCATAGACCCTCTGTCTGTCATACACCCTCTCTCTGCACAGCACACCTGCTCTCTATACTTATCCCATGACTTATCCACCTACCTTAACCCGGACCCCCATGCACTGTGTTTCCAACCGGTCCCAAGAGCCAGCCACTCCCCTGGGTTCACCACAACCTCTTGGCCTCGCCCTCTGCTTGCCTCCTCGGAGCACAGAGTTGCAAACCTGCTGTGGAAACCCACGAAGCTGGGATCCAAACTCAGTTCAGCTGATGTCAGCGAGGCACCGAGCACCTTCCGGCCCTTGCCCAGCCCTGCCGACTTGCTCGCCCATTTCCCTGGCCTCATGGGGCCGCAGGGAAACCAATACACCGTTGTGCACAGCGAGTAGCGTCCTCAATCTGCACAACTCCTGGAGACAGTACCTCTGCACTGTCTTCAAACGGCACGGATGCGTCGCCTGTGAATCTGTCCTGAACGCAGACGGCACCACAGCCGTGAAGCCCCACCACAACACGGAGACCGCACCGAGCGTCCCGAAGCTTTGAAAATGTCCGACACTCGGAAGAAAAGTGAACTTCGCCAACGTGGGTTTTGAAGGTGCAAGACTACTTCTGCCAGGCCTGCCATTTGGAAATGGAACTTCAGTTTAAACTACTTCAGATGCATTTTTTACTTGAACATGAAATAAAATAGCACCAAGCGGAGCAAGTAGCAAAGGAAGTTTCGAGTCTCTGAGGGTAGGACACAAATGCAAGTGTGAGATCCAGAACGCACACGTGGCCACAGGAGGCTGGCTTCCCCGGGGTGGGGGGACTCCTGAGAGGCAGCCCCTACAGGGACCTGGGGGTGCGGGCAGGGGGCGGGCCAGGTCTCCAGGAGGTGGAGTGGCAGGCTGGGCCAGCGCCAGGAGAGGGCTGCTCCAGGAAGAGCCGTTCTGCCCACGAGAGGCGGGGGCAGAGCCATGGCACTGGGCGGCTCAGGGAGGCTGGAGGAAGAAGGTGGAGCTTCCTGCGTCTCCCTGGCCCGGAGAGTCTGGCAGGTGGATTCCCCCTTCCCCCTCTCTGTGGGAGGCCGGCGGATTTCTTCTCTGCTTGCTCACTGCCTCCCACCCAGTCTGCTGGATGAAGTGCAGCCGCCCTAACTCAGGCCCGCGATTCAGCAGGCCTCTCCTCTCCTGGGTGTTAAGAAAAGCAAGGGGGTCACAAGAAAACATGCACCTGTCAACCACGTGTGCCCGTGGGACTGGGGATGTCCCACAGACGCCACAGTCGTGGCGGAAGTGTCAGGTAGAACATAAAATATGACCTGCACACCTGACGTGTCCACCGAAAGCAGAAACGCAAACAAGCCAGGCGTCAAGGGTCCATCCCACAGCCCGGTTCCCTCATTTCCATCCCCACTCGAAGGGAAGAAAATGCTCAGAAAAGCCCCGAACCCTCCTGGAGGCCACAGAAGGTGGCAGTGCTGGGACAAGAGCCCTGGTCAGGGGCCGGCGCTGTGGCACAGCAGGTAAAGCCACCGCCTGCAGAGCTGGCATCACGTATGGGTGCCAGTTCGAGTCCTGGCTGCTCCACTTCCACTCCCTGCACCCACGTGGGAGACCCAGAAGAAGCTCCTGGCCCCTGGGATCTAAATAAATAAATCTTTAAACAAACAAAAGAGCCTGGTCAGCCGGGCCGGTGCCAGGCACTTCCTGTACAGCCCATGGTCTTGAACTTCCTCGGCGGCCACCACAGAAGCAGAACCCAATGACAGCCCCGACGTCCTTGTGCTAGAATCCGTCATCCCCTGGACCCACCCTCACCTCAGACCACAGGTCTGCAGCCACCCTCCCCACGTCCTGCTCTTTCTCATGTCCCTTGAACGGTGTCCCCGTTCCATCCAGGACCTCAGAGTGGGACCTCATTTAGAAACACGCTCTTTCAGAGTAAGTAGTTAGACTGTCTGGATTCGAGTGGGCCCCATATCCCATCCCTATATCCTATCTGAGAGGAAGAGAGGACACACAGGGAGACGGCGGTGACGTCACCGCAGCCAAGGACTGCCAGGAGCCCCCAGGAGCCGGAAGAGGCCATGAGATACCACTGTAGGCCCCTTTCTGGAGTCGAGAGAAACTGATCCTGCCGAGTGTCCAACACAGAGACCGTGACCTGCAGCGAGCAGCCCTGCCACGGTGGTCAGCCTGCAGACAGGAGAAGCCGGCAGAAATTTCGGTTCTCCCACCACCCACCTGCCAAAGCCAGTCGTGCATGCGACCAGATTTGCATCCGCACACACACTCCTGACAGCTCCCGCCGAGAGGCAGGTCTGTCCCTCCACGGCCAACCCACAGCCCTGGAGCCAGGGCCGCAGGCAGGGCGGAAATGTCACGCTTCGGCCCCTCTGGCCCAGTGGAAGCCCAGTTGGACGCTTCTCCAACGTGTTTCAGAGAATTTAACCACACACATTTGCTGGTGCACACCGCAGCCATGCGTGGGCACCAAGTCCTCAAATGAGGGTGCTGGCCACTATCCCGGGAGCAGCGTGACAGAAGCAGGGCCTGGATCGCGTTCCCACGACAGGGAGCGGCCTGGAGCCACACGGCTCCGGGCTCAGCAGTGGACAACCAGCCCCGGCCAGCTGGAAGCAAGCACTTCCGCTCCTCCAATGTCCTCCACTCCCAGCAAGGCCAGGGTGCCTGGGCCTGCGCCCCCCGGCCCGAGCCCGGCTGTCCTCTCTCTGGCAGCTCACAGGACAGCTCAAGCCCTGTCCACTTCTAAATCCTGAAATTAACGTCCGGAAAATCGACAGCATAGCGTGGAGAAAGTCCGCCCAACAGGCATTCCAGCTGCCACGTCCCTTCCTCTCACATTGGAGAGGACCTAACTCGGGGTGCAGAGAGCACTTTCCAAGGTGCTCCGTGATCCTGCACAGGCACAAACTCTGCCTAGGTATTGTAGAGTCTCTGCATTTTGTTTTTTATTAAGGTCTAACCAAGAAATAAAACATGATGACATCATAAGACAACAGGCTCTGGCTGCCGCACGTGCCCCGCCTGCAGCCAGCCAAGTGCAGGCCTGTGGCTGTCACCCATGTGAGATGCAGAGCCCGCAGGTGGAGAGACGCGTCGGGACGGAGGTGCTGGCCGCAGAGCGGGGGAAGGAGGAACCGGCTGTGAGTTCGAGGAATTCCCACCGTCAGCTGAGAGGTCACAGACCGACGGAGCCCCAGCCACAGGCGACTTCTTCCCGCGGCCTCCTGCTCCCACAGGCCCTCATGGTCAGAGAGCCCCCCGACATGGAGGCTCCCCGGCTTGACAGTGAGGACCAGGGAGGAGACACCAGAGAAAATCATGCTGAACCACAGGCTGGGGGCAGGCGGGAGAACGGAGAAGCCCTCTGAGGCACTGGGGGCCTCGCTGTGGGTAAGACGGGGCCCCCAAGCCTGAGAGCACAGCGCAGCGCAGCCGGACAGCACTCCCCAGAAGGTTCCGGCTCTCCGGGCCCTCCCTCGGCCAGCCAGGCCGGATCGAGGACAAAGAAGCCCCAAGGTTCCGAGAGCTCTCGGTGCCCAGACCCAAGCCACGCTGGGGAAATCCCGGACGTGAACCTGGCAGGGAACCGGCTCAAGCCACAGCCACAGCCACAAACCCTGCAGGGCCGGCTCAACCACAGAAGAGCAGACTCCACGCTTCAGCCGCAAAATGTTCCGCCGGCACAAGCACGCCAAGGCCACCCGCGGTCAGAACAAGAAACAGACATAGCAAAGGACCCCACATACCAGCTACTGACACGATCGCCCGGCGACTCGACGACGCGGGGAGGAGTGTGTCTCACACCCTTCACACGGCACGTGACGTCTGGTGACACACGCCGGCGCGCCAACACCCCAACGGGGCTGTGCGTTTGCAAAGGTGCCTGACCTGCTAACACGCTCCTCCGGCTCCCGTATTTCCTGCGGTACGTGTCAGAGGCTTCATCACACCCAGGCTTCATCTCTAAGGCAGGCGCTGGTGTGCAAACCCTGTACACGTGCGAGGCGTCACGTCTGCTTACGCAGCATTTAGAGAGGTGAACGGGATTCTTCTGCATTTTACTTATTGGACTTTTTCTATAAAGAAGGATTTTAGTCATCAACTTTTTTTTTTTTTGGACAGGCAGAGTGGACAGTGAGAGAAAGAGAAGAGAGAAAGGTCTTCCTTTTCTGTTGGTTCACCCTCCAATGGCCGCTGCGGCCGGCGCATCGCGCTGATCCGAAGCCAGGAACCAGGTGCTTCTCCTGGTCTCCCATGAGGTGCAGGGCCCAAGGACCTGGGCCATC